AATCTGTTAAACATCTTCATTATGCTGTATGCCAATTTACTCCAAACAGTAGCTGTGAACTTCATTGCTGTATGCTAATTTACTGCTCACTCTCTACCTGTATGTCTTTTCCAGTGTATCTGAGGAAGTGTGTTTGCACACGAAAGCTTATACCTTGAATAAAACTTTGTATGGTCATAAAGGTGTCACAGGACTCAAACTTTGTTCTCCTGTCAAGTTTGTATGACTTGAGCGAGCTACAGCAAAGTGATTTTTAATAAGCAGACGTCTATATAAATGGTTTAATACAGTTCCCTGATAGAGAACAAAAGCTTATACCTTGAATAAAACTTTGTATGGTCATAAAGGTGTCACAGGACTCAAACTTTGTTCTCCTGTCAAGTTTGTATGACTTGAGCGAGCTACAGCAAAGTGATTTTTAATAAGCAGACGTCTATATAAATGGTTTAATACAGTTCCCTGATAGAGAACTACTTACAATGGGTGAATTAGTTGCCAGTGGGTCTCCTTTCTCCTCTAACAGGGGTCCAAGTTCAGCCAGTTCCACAACTTCCTTCTCTCTGACATTATTTGAAGGTCCATTTCCTTGGCTGTTTACTGATCCTTTACGGGACGACATCTGGTCAGAACACAAGACACCAGACCTGGACTTCTGCAAAAGCAGAACCACCAGACTTCTCCAGCACCCTTATGAATTCTCGCTAGGAAGAAGAAAACATTACTTTGCAGACCAGTTTGTTTCTAAATACATTTGCAACCTAGATGCACAGCAGTTGTTCCTTCCTAGTAAGCCCAAGAATCTTCCAAATACTCTTTTCCATTTACCTGATAAAAATAGATCTTAAGAAATTAGTCTGTGTGTTTCAATTAAATCCAAGAAAAGGAGCTAGTTCTGAATAAGAACACTCACTCAGGGGTCATTTCCTGCAGGAGCGCACAGGAGCGGAGCTCTGGCAGTAAAGAGCCCAGGGGGCGGGCACATGCAACAAGCCCCACCCCCTGCTCCCAGCAGCCCTCAGTCAGAGCAAGAAGCAGCCAGGTAAGCTGCAGAGCCCCCCCAAAAAACCAGTCCAGTGGCACCTTTAAGACCAAGTTTTATTCAGGTACAAGCTCTCC